TCTTGCTGTTTTCTTTTTTTTTTTTATTTTTTTTTTTGGAAAGAGGTCTTTTTCTGTCAACAGGCTGGAGTGCATGTGGCGCGATCTGGCGATGCAACCCTGCCTCCCGGTTCAAGCAATCTCCTGCCTTCAGCCTCCGAGTAGCAGGGACTACAGCCACCCCAGCCACCACTCCCGGTAATTTTTTTTGTTTTTTTGTTTGGTGGTTGGTCGCAGATGGAGCCCAGGCTAATTAGTGTAATAGTGCTGAGCCGTCACGTGGTGGTCTTGGTGGCTGTCGTCGCTGCGGTGTCGTTTGTTCGATTGGCCATGTCTCCTGCCTCAGCCTTCGCTGAGTTAGGCTGGGACTACAGGTGCCCTGCCACACAACCCGGCTAACTTTTTTATTTTTAGTAGAGAGGGGGTTCACCATGTTGGGCCAGGATTGTTTTTAGTCTCTTTGCACTTCATCGTCCCACCGTGCCTTGGCCTACCGGAAGTGCAGGATTTACAGGCGGTTGAAGCGACCGACCGCCTGGCGCTACAGTTTGTCATGGCCCATTGTGTGGTCCCTCTTTTGAAAAAGCATCTATGTAATGGTCTTTGCCCTTTAAATTGGATTATTTATTTGTGCTATTGACGCTAAATGCTATCTAATTTTGGATATTACCCTCTGCGATGCAGTTTTGTGAAAATTATTGTCTCCCATTCTCCCGTGGGCGTTGTCCTTTCCCTTTGTTGATTGTTTCTTTGCCGCGTGCAGAAGGTTTTTGTTTATGTAATTTCACTTGGTCCCAATTTTAACTTTTGTTGCTCTGTGCGCTTTCTTTTTTTTTTTTTCTGAGTTCTCACTCTGTTGCCCAGGCTGGAGTGCAGTGGCGGATCTCAGCTAACTGCAAGCTCCGCCTTCCTGGGGCACGCCATTCTCCTGCCTCAGCCTCCGTGTAGCTGGGACCACAGGCGCCCCGCCACCTCCGCCGGCTAAATTTTTGTACTTTAGTAAGGCGGGTTTCACCATGCTAGCCAGATAGTCTCATCTCCGACCTCGTGATCCGCCTGTCTCAGCCTCCCACGAGTGCTAGGATTACAGGTGTGAGTCATTGCACCAGCAGGCTTTTTTTTTTTTTTTTTTTTTTTTTTGAGGGGAGTCTCACTCTGTCACCCAGGCTGGAGTGCAATGGTGCAATCTCGGCTAACTGCAACTTCTGCCTCCTGGATCCAAGCGATTCTTGTGGCCTCAGCCTCCCGAGTAGCTGGGATTACAGGACTCACCACCATGCCTAGGTAATATTGATATTTAGTAGAGATGGGGTTTCGCCATGTTGGCCAGGCTGGTCTTGAACTCCTGACCCAGGTTATCCACCGCCCTGGCCTCCCATAGGTGCTGGATTACAGGCATGAGCCTCCCGCGCCTGACTGTGCTTTTGGATTTCTCATCCAAAAAATCTTTCCCCAGATGGATGTCATGAAGTATTTCCCTTATTTTTTTTTTTCCAGTAGTTTATAGTTTCAGATCTTACATTTAAGGTCTTTAGACCATTTTGAGTTGATTTTTGTATATGGGTGAGAGGTAGGTGTCTAGTTTCATTCTTCTGCATATGGACATTCAGTTCTCCCCACATCATTTATTGAAGATACTGTCCTTTTCCAATGTATGTTCTTAGTACCATCACAAGAAATCTAGGCCATTTTGAGTTGATTTTTGTATATGGTGAGAGGTAGGTGTCTAGTTTCATTCTTCTGCATATGGACATTCAGTTCTCCCCACATCATTTATTGAAGATACTGTCCTTTTTCCAATGTATGTTCTTAGTACCATCACAGAAAATCAGCTGGCTGTGTGTGGATTTCTTTCTGTGTTCCCTATTTAGTGCCATTTTTATAGTGTGTCTATAGCTTACGTGTCTATTTTTATGCCAATACCATGCTATTTTGGTTATCATAGCTTTGTATAGTATATTTTGAACTCAGGTAGTGTGATGTCTCCAGTTTTGTTCTTTTTGTTCAAGAATGCTTTGGCTATTTGGGAACTTTTGTGGTTCCATACAAATTTTAGAATTGATTTTTTTCTATTTTTGTGAAGAATGTCATTTAAAGTTTGACAGGGATTGCACTGAATCTGTAGATCATTTTGAGTAGTATGTACATTTTAAGAATATTAATTATTTCAGTCCATGAACACAGAATATCTTTCCATTTATTTGTATTCTCTTCAATTTCTTTCATCAGTGTTTTATAGTTTCCATTGTAGAGATATTTTACCTCCTTGGTTAAATGTATTCCTAGATTATATATATTTATATATATTAGTTATTATAAATGGGATTTTCTTGATTTCTTTTTTGGATAGTTCATTATTGGTATAAAAAAACACTACTGATTTTTGTATGTTAATTTTGCATCCTGCAACTTTACTAAATTGGTTTATCGGTTCTAACCGTTTTTTTGGTGGAGTCATTAGGGTTTTCTATACATAATATCATGTCAACTGCAAACGGGGACACTTTGACTTCCTCCTTTCCAATTTGGATGTCTTTTATTTCTTTCTCTTGCCTAATTACTTTGGCTAGCAGTTCTAGGACTATGTTGAATAAAAGTGATGAAAGTGGACATCCTTGTCTTGATCCAGATCTTAGAGGAAAACGTTTCAAGTTTTCCCCATACAGTATGATGTTAGCTGTGGGTTTGTGTGAGACTTTCTGTTAAACATTTCTTGTTTTGTTTTTTTTTTTTTCTTTGGATGGAGTCTTGCTCCGTCGCCCAGGCTGGAGTGTAGTGGTGCATCTTGGCTCACTGCAACCTCTGCCTCCTGGGTTCAAGTGATGCTCCTGCCTAAGCCTCCCAAGTAGCTGGGACTACAGGTGCCCACGACCACACCTGGCTAGTTTTTGTATTTTTAGTAGAGACAGGGCTTCACCATGTTGGCCAGGCTGGTCTTGAACTCTCAACCTCAGGTGATCTGCCCTCCTCGACCTCCCAAAGTGCAGAGATTACAGGCATGAGCCACTGCGCCCAGGCTCTGTTAAACATTTCTGCTTTTAGTTTTCTAGTTGTAAAGAGGCTCTCTCACCCAAAACTTTTAAAATAAATACTGCCCTTTTATGATATGCTCATATTTTACATAAGTTGGAATAACAAGGCTCTCAAGAGTGATATGACTCATGCCTGTAATCCCAGCATTTTGGGAGGCTGAGTTGGGAGCATAGCTTGACTGCAGGAGTTCGAGACCAGCCTGGGCAACACAGAGGGACACTGTCTCTACAAAAAACAAACAAACAAACAAACAAAATTAGCTAGGTGTGGTGGTGTGTGCTTGTAGTCCCAGCTACTTGGAAGGCTGAGGTGGGAGGATCACTTGAGCCTGGGAGGTCAAGACTGCAGTAAGCCCTGATCGTACCACTTGCACTCAGCCTGGGCAAAAGAGCAAGACCCTGTCTCAAAAACAAACAAAGAATAATGAATATTTGAAATAGTATAACCGGCCTATTAAGAAAGTCCCAGCTTTGGCAGGCACAGTGACTTACACCTGTAATCCTAATACTTTGGGAGGCTGAGGTGGGAGGGTCACTTGAGCCCAGGTGTTTAAGACCAGCCTGGGCAACATGGTGAGACCCCATCTCTGAAAAAAAATTTTTTTTAATTAAAAACATGGGCCGGCTGCGGTGGCACACACCTATAATCCCAGCACTTTGGGAGGCCAAGGCGGGCGGATCACGAAGTCAAGAGATCGAGACCATCCTGGCCAACATGGTGAAACCCCGTCAACATGGTGAAACCCCGTCTCTACTAAAAATACAAAAACTAGCCAGACGTAGTGGTGCGTGCCTGTAGTCCCAGCTTCTTGGGAGGCTGAGGCAGGAGAATCTCTTGAACCTGGGAGGTAGAGGTTGCAGTGAGCTGAGATCATGCCACTGCACTCCAGCCTGGCAACAGAGCGAGACTCCGTCAAAAAAAAAAATAGGCCAGACGCAGTGGCTCATGCTTATAATCCCAGCACTTTGGGAGGTGGAGGTGGGCAGATCACCTGAGGTCAGTATTTCAAGACCAGCCTGGCTAACGTGGTGAAATCCCGTCTTTACTAAAAATACAAAAACTAGCCAGGTGTGGTGGCACATACCTGTAGTCCCAGTTACTTGGGAGGCTGTGGCAGGAGAATTGCTTGAACCCAGGAGACAGAGTTTGTAATGAGCCGAGATCATGCCACTGCACTCCAGCCTGGGTGACATAGCAAGACTCTATCTCAATAAATAAATAAATAAATAAAGTTTTAAAAATAAGAAAGTCCCAGTTTTGTGCAAAATTTGAAATTATTTAACTCCAGTCAAGAGTAATTTTTTAGGCTGGGTGCAGTGGCTCACGCCTATAATCCTAACACTTTGGGAGGCTGAGGCCGGTGGATCACCTGAGGTCAGGAATTCAAGACCAGCCTGGACAACATGGTGAAACCTTGTTTCTACTAAAAATACAAAAATTAACCAGGCGTGGTGGTGGGCACCTGTAGTTCTAGCTACTTGGGAGGCTGAGTCAGGAGAAATGCTTGAACCTGGGAGGCAGAGGTTGCAGTGAGCCGAGATCGCACCACTGCACTCCAGCCTGGGTGACAGGAGCGAGACTCTATCTCAAAAAATAAATAAATAGGCCCGGTGGGGTGGCTCACGCCTGTAATCCCAGCACTTTGGGAGACCGAGGCAGGTGGATCACCATGTCAGGAGTTCAAGACTATCCTGACCGACATGGTGAAACCCCTTTTCTACTAAAAATACAAAAATTAGCCAGGCATGGTGGCGCATGCCTGTAATGGCAGCTACTCAGGAGGCTGAGGCAGAAGAATCGCTTGAACCTGGGAGGCGGAGGTTGCAGTGAGCCGAGATCGCGCCATTGTGCTCCAGCCTGGGCAACAAGAGTGAAACTTGTCTCAAAAAAAAAGTTCATCAAATTAAAAAAATATAATAATATTTTGTAGAAAGGAGGTCTTACTTTGTTGCCCAGGCTGGTGTCAAGCTCCTGGGCTCTAGTGATCTTCCTACCTCAACTTCTCAAAGTACTGGGATTACAGGCGTGAGCCACCACCCCTGGCCTATTATTTTAATTTTTAGAGTTATAATTTTTAAATAGTTTTTATTCTATAACAAGGTCATCTAAGGAGCAAGTTCCAGTGAGCATTTAATTCAGTGAGAACAATAACCCAATCTTGAAAATATATTCTTTTGGAACAGAAGTCAGAGACAATAAAACACTAGATAAAGCCACATGGCCATGTACCAAGCTATTAAATTTTGGAGACAGTACTCTGTGAAATATCAAAGATAATTCTGGGAAAATTTGAGAGAGTATTAAAGCAAATACAACTTTAAGTTTGCAAATACAATCTTATAACTGGGTATGGTTAATGAAATGGAAAAAATGCTATGGCTGCAAGATCATTCCTAACACAATGTGTCCCTATGCTACAGAGATTGTCTGCACCTGTGCTATGAGATTATACCCCCATGACCATACAAACCTGCCTACAAAAAAACTACTCATGACTTATGCATGCTTTGAATATATGAAGTGTTTGGAAAAATCACTCTTCTTTCCAATTTCTTGGTTATCTAATGGCCTGCAGGTATAAAAGATAAGAACCTAGCTCATTTATGTTTTCTTCTTCCTTCCAATTCCTTCAGTGTTAGGTAGTTATGTCATTATTTTTAAGTTTTGTTGTGGTTACCCTTTAACTTTAAATAGTATGTTACACCTCAATTTTTCATTCCAAAACTTGAGTCAGTATCCTGACTTCAGATTATAGAAGTTGCAGGTATCTATGATACTATCCTTCTCTTCATATTTCCTTAACTTTCCATTTCCCACCTTTTGTTACCTATACTTTTATATTATGAAGAATAATGCTTGCCTTTTTTTGCAACATAACCAAGATCTTCCTTACTTTGTCCTTAAGTTGAGTGTAAAGGATGAACTTTAACTTAGAAGATGAATACATTCTAGAGATCTAATGTACAGGATGGTGACTGTAGTTAAGACAACAACGACAACAAAAAGTAATTACATTAGTAAGACTACATCAATATTGTGCACTGCTGAACTAGGTAGCATATTAGGAATGCAATTTTCCTCTCTATGAGGGCAGTGTCATATCCTTCATATATTTATCATACCCTTCATATGTTTATCATACCCTTCATATATTCAATGAAAAATGTCTTAGCACCATGTACTAGTCTTTTTCTCACACTCCCTAAATTACTGAAAATTATACATTATTCTTCTAAATTGGGCCATAACATACTCAATTAGCTTTTGGTTTTTCTGGAATTATTAATTTCCTATCTTTTTATTGACTAAATATATAGTTTATCTTATACTAAAACTTTTTTTTTTTTTTTGAGACAGACTCTCTCTCTGTCACCCAGGCTGGAGTGCAGTGGGGCGATCTCGGCTCACTGCAAGCTCCGCCTCCTGGGTTCACGCCATTCTCCTGCCTCAGCCTCCCGTGTAGCTGGGACTACAGGTGCCTGCCACAGCACCCGGCTAATTTTTTGTACTTTTAGTAGAGACGGGGTTTCACCATGTTAGCCAGGATGGTCTCGATCTCCTGACCTCGTGATCCGCCCGTCTCGGCCTCCCAAAGTGCTGGGATTACAGGCGTGAGCCACCACGCCAGGCCTATACTAAAACTTTTGTTGTTGTTCTCCTAGTAACACTATGGACTGCATGCAATACTTTTGCCCCAGAGTCCTTCTCTTTGGAACTCTGTCCTCCTACTTCAAAATGGATAATTTTTTTTTTAATCACACACTACTTTCCTTTCTTGTGTTAGAAAGATCCCTTGCCTTAATCTTTCTTGGATAACTTCGTCATCCTGCTGGAATACATGCTCAAATAACTTAAAAAAGGAGTCCTTTACAAGCCCTGGTTTGTATGAAACACCTACATTCTACCCTCACAGTTGATTGATAGGTAGGCTGGATATGTAAATTAGTTTCAAATTTAATTTCCCCCAGAACTGAAAGGACTACTCGATTATCTTCCAGCAGCCAGAGATGTTAATGAGAATTTGGCTGTTCAATTTTCATTCCTCTATAGGTGGCCTAATTCTTCCTTCTGGAAGCTTTCAAAAACTTTTGTTTATTCTTAGAGTTCTAAAAATTTTACAAAATTATGTCCAAGTGGGTTATCTTCCCCATTTATCACTGTTGGCACTTAGAGGGTTATTTTAATGTAAAAATGTGTCCTTTTCTCGGAAATTTTCTTATATAATTTCTCTAGCAATGTCCCTTATGCCATTTTGTCTGTTCTCCACTTCTGGATCTCATATTACTTAGCTGTTGGACCTCTTAAATGGGTTTTTACATCACCTATTTTCTGTCATATGTCTCATCAGTGATGGAGAATGCCATCTTCACCTCACTACTGTCACTTTTGTCTACATCAATTGATTAAAATAACTACTACTACTAACTATGTCAGCCTGGAGTAGAATCCTTGTTTTTACCATTTTGAGTGTTTTACCCAGCGTCATACCTACCCAACTGCTGTTCAGATAGCATCCTCTCAGAAGGTTGATGCTGAAAATGCCAGGAAATGGAATATTTTAAATAAAAACAGAAAACCTTATTGAAGTCCGGTTGTAGATATTTCTTTGCCCTCTTCTGCCAGGCTCATCACTCTACCATAGATAAAATTAAATTGGTGTGGCATAATTTGCACTTCACAAAATCATGTTGATTACGACCCAGTACCTTGTGCTCTTCTAGGTGGTTGCAAATTGATTGTTTGATGATTTGCTCTTGTATCTTCCCAGGTATCCAAGATAAGCTGAATAGTCTATAATTACTACAGCTGTCCTTTTCCCTGTTTTAAAAAACAGGTACTCCATCTGCTGATTCTACTTGTCAGGACCTTCTTCTGTCCAACCTTCATTTTCTAAAATAAAGGCTGGTGGTCTTGCAATTATATTTGCCAATTCCTTAAGTGTCCTGGGATGCGAGTAATCAAGCCCTGCTGATTTGAATGTACCAGGCTTTCTGAAGTGCTCTTCAATCACTTCTTTCTCCTTGTTTGCCTTTGCACCTTCAAGATGATAGCACTTAATCCAGTTTAGTTTCCTTATCATCGCTGATTAAAAAGAAAAATGAAACAGGTTAAAAACACAGTGAAAGCCTCTGCTATTACAGTTCTTTGTTAATAGTTTTTATTTAGCAGTATCTGCTGATAGTGTTGTTTTGTTGGTAGTTTTAGTGGTTGCATTTTACATCCTATAGAGCAAATTCCTTCTGGTATTCTTCCTTCCATTTTTTCACCCTTCCTGCCTCATTCATTCCTTCCTTTCTTCCTCCCTCCCTCCTATTTTCCCTCCTTCCTTCTCTCTGTCTCTCTCTTTCTTTCTTTTAAATTTCTTACAGAGAATGAGATAAGGGGAAGGGAGGAAAAAAAGAGGCCAAGAATCCCACATAACATTATGATTAAGACATTTACTAATCACCAAATGCCCACATGCTGCCCGCAATTTTTCAGCCTGCTTGTAGCTGGAGTGAGGGGGCACATGACTAGTTCTGGTCCACAGGTACTGAAGAGCTATGAGTCTCCCAGGATTTCTTTCCTCTGCCCCAGGTAGCTAGAAGTCACATGTTCTGGACGGTGAACCAACAAAAGACAAGCAGCGTGGACCCCTGAGTCACCATTAGAAGGCCGCAGTCCTAGAGAGTCATCAGATCCCCAGAGGACTATGTGTTAAGCCACAGATATTTGGGGGTTTGTTTTTTCTAGCTTAACATCACTAATACAGTACCAGTTTTTGGATTAGTCAGATTAGGCTAGGTTTTTGTCAAGGGAACAAATTAACCCTGAAATCTAAGTGGTTTAACATGACAAAGGTTTATTTCTTACTCATGGTATGTGGTAGCTAGTCTCCAAAAAGGGCTCCCAATGACTCTTCCCTCCTGGTAATCACACCCTTGGAAAGTTACCTCCTACTCTGACTCTGCATGATCCCATGACTCACTTTAAACAAGGAAGTGTGCAGAAATAAGTGTGGCAGAAGTGACACTGTGGCTCTCCCCAGTGCCTTAGAAATCCTGGCACTTCCTGATATTGCATTTGGAGCCATTCACGATATAAAATGTCTAGAGAATGAACCTCTATGCAGAGGAGCACCAAAGTGCCAGACATAAGCAAAGAAGCATCTTTAGTTCAATCCCAGTCAAGCTTCCTAAGCACCCCAGACCCAGTCACCATCCGACCACAACCACAGGACAGACTCTAAGTGAGTAAGAACTCCCCAGGTGAGCCCAGCCAACTCACAAAATTGGAGAAGTAACAACAAATTGTTGTTTTAAACCATTTTGTATGGGATGGCTTGTTAGGCAGCAGTAGCAACCTGAAGCATCATACATACCCAATGTAGGTGAATGGGCACTGGGCTCCACACAGACATTCATGGAACCAGGTTGACATGGGTTCCACCATCTTGTATCTGCACCATTGGGAATGCGACCTCTTTGATGGCAGTAGTAAGGGAAGAGAGGGCTGAGGGGTTGCAACCCAACTTTTAAATGTTTTCATCTCTGCTCCCATTCCATTGGCCAATGAGAATTGTCAGGGAGTAAACGGAGATTCAATGCACATTACATGACTCTGCCACGGACCTTGCCAATAAAATTTGCCCTTGTTTCCTATAGTATTATAAGGCAGCTTATCCAAGTACTTACCACCCAACTGGCTTTCCAAGAATTATAAACAATGATGTAGGACTGGCTCATACATCTCACAGAACCAACTGGGTGGACCTCCTCCCAACTTTGCATTCTGTGATGCCATGTGGGTAGCTAGAAGTCAGCCACGGTAGAAATATTTGCACCATATAGCTTGGCAAATGCTACAAATCAGGGCTTTCTTCCCATGTATCTAGTTACACCAGATCCAAAATATACCTACTATTCAGGTTGCCTCTATATTCATGCACATTTGTTTATTATTATAGGTAGAATTTTTTAAACTAGCCACTGATGGTCTCATTTCTTTCCCTATTGCAAACAGACCAATCTATGAATTGAAGATGTTAACATAAACCTGATTAACCTTTTATTAATAAAAAAAAGATGGCAGTTTGAAGTTTCTTCTATATAACCAGAATGTGCATATTTTAATACACAGACACTAGGTTAATATTCATATTAGTACAGTACTGGAAATGTTGCTATAAAAGAAATATTAAATGTACCTGTTCTCAGTCAGCATCAACAAGGTTTTCACCCCTCCAGTAATTATTGCATCTAATAACACTGCCTTAGCTACTGATTCATTCTGGAAGCTTCAGTATCTTTTAGGCTTTAGAGTTTATATGACTAAACTCTTTTATTTTAAGCCTTGCTGAAAGAGTTAATTCAGTGTCCTGTTCTAGTTCACCAACTCTTTATTTCCAAACCTTCAACCTCCACATACAAACAATCAGGAGAAAGGCCATCAATAAGGTTTCAGCATCTATTACGGGATATGAAGCAATAACATTTTAAATAGCACCTTGGAGGCCTGGAGGAGTTAATACATCTTTCAGCAGTCCCTACTTTATAGCTCTGGAGTATTTTGAACCCTGAAAAGCTGGATTATTTATGAGGAGATTGAGAAGGCTCCAGTTGGAGGGAAACCTCATTTCTTGTTTCTTATACAAACAAGAAAGGGTATGCTTTGATAAGGTTTGAATCTGTGTCCCTGCCCAAATTTCATGTCAAACTGTAATCCCCAGTGTTGGAGGTGGGACCTGGTAGGAGGTGATTGGATTATGGGAGCAGTTTCTCATGAATGCTTTAGCACCATCCCCTGGGGGCTTTTCTTGTGATAGTGAGTTATCATGAGATCTAGTTGTTTAAAAGTGTGTAGCACCTGGCCGGGCGCGGTGGCTCACGCCTATAATCCCAGCACTTTGGGAGGCCGAGGCGGGTCTCATGAGGTCAGGAGATAGAGACCATCCTGGCTAACACGGTGAAACCCCGTCTCTACTAGAAATACAAAAAACGAGCAGGGCATGGTAGCAGGAACCTGTAATCCCAGCTACTTGGGAGGCCTGAGGCAGGAGAATCGCTTGAACCCCGGAGGCAGAGGTTGCAGTGAGCTGCGATCGCACCACTGCACTCCAGCCTGGGCAACAAGAGCAAAACTCCGTCTCATAAAAAAAAAAAAAAAAAAAAAAATGTGATGCTGGCATTCCTTCACTGAGAGATGGGGTCCCTCAACTAAGGTGGATTTTTGTAACTGCTTCCACAAATAGAATGAGATCAAATGACATTGCATGGCTTCAGAGGCTGGGTACTAAAAGGCAATGTGGCTTCCACCTGGCTCTCTCCTTGGGACCTGTGCATTCGGAGCCCTTAGCCTCCATGGAAAAGTCCATCTATCCTGAAGCTACCATGATAAAGAGACCACAGAGAAACAGAGAGGTTCCTATACAGCCACAACTCTTCCAGCCACAACTGCTTGAGTCTTTGCAACCCAAGAATCAGGCATGTGCGAGTGTCAGCCTTCAAGCTGTCAGCTGAAACCAAGTTGGAGTGGAAATGAGCTGTCCATGCTAAGCCTTGTTCAGATTACAGATCTGTAAGAAAAGTAAGTGTTGCTCTTGTTTTAAGCCACTGAATTTTGTAGCCCTTGTTTCTGAAACAGCAAGTAACAGATGCCCTTCTAGCTAGCATCCGCAGAATGTTGAAGAAGATTATAGGATGAAGGTCTAGAATCATCTGAGGAGCCCAAAAATAAGACGCACAGCTGGATCTCATGATGGCTTGACGAGAACCTAAACCAGAAGACCAGCAAAAATCAAGTCAGCTACTCAGCTCCAGTGTCCTCCTCTCTGTGCCTCCATGGTCTTCTCCTGTCTCTTATTTTGCGGCCCTCCTCTCTGCCTCTCAGCATGTCTACTTCCTTCCTTCTCTCTGCAGTCTGGTGTTGTGTGTTTCTTCTTGACTGTGCTGCAAAGCCAAAGCTCTTCAGTTGGGATGCTCTTAGTTTAAGAGACCAGCCTATACTAACTTGCATCCTTTCTCTCCAGTGAAAAATTCTTGGGAGAGAGGATCTAATTGGCCAGCCTGAGTCAGATGTCTCTTTCTGGTCCAATCAGATGACACTGGGGGCAAGGCCACATTGTACCAACATGGCTGCCACTCCTGCTGCCCAGCTCCCTGTGAAAATTCTTAGAAGGGGGCTCAGAGGCTTGCAAACATAGCAATACATCCAATGCTTGAATATTAGAAGGCATTTTGGATAGTCTTGTTCATGTGTAAAAACCTACCACAGCCAGGCACGGTGGCTCACACCTGTAATCCCAGTACTTTGCGCGGCCGAGGCGGGCGGATCACCTGAGGTCGGGGGTTCGATACCAGCCTGACCAATATGGAGAAACCCCGTCTCTACTAAAAATACAAAATTAGCCGGGTATGGTGGCACATGCCTGTAATCCCATCTACTCGGGAAGCTGAGGCAGGAGAATCACTTGAACCCGGGAGGCAGAGGTTGTGAGCTGAGATTGCGCCTTTGCACTCCAGCCTGGGCAACAAGAGTGAAACTCCGTCTCAAAAAACAAAACAAAATCCTACCACAGACTCCCCTTTAAATTGCTTTTTGCTTTATTTACAAATATGCTTAGACAAGTGTATGCCAACCCCCTCCTCATTCCCAGCCCATTCTCACAGTTATTTGAAAGGGCACTTCTGGAACTCCACAAGAAGGCAGTGGATCCGAAAGATGTAACCTCAAGGAACGGAACTCAATGATTGATTTTTCTTATATTTATTGTTTGAGGTTTATCTTATAATGTGAAGTTGCCTTCCTTCCTTTCCTTCCTTTCCTCCCTTTTCTCCCTTTCCTCCCCTCCCCTTCCCTTCCTTAGACAGAGTCTCACTCTGTCGCCCAGGCTGGAGTGCAGTGGCACAATCTCAGCTCACTGCAACCTCTGTCTCCCGGGTTCAAGCGATTCTCCTGCCTCAGCCTCCCGAGTACTTGGGATTACAGGCGTGAGCCACCGCACCCGGCCGAAACTGAGGCTTCTTAATGAACTTTTGACAGTTTTCCCACACTAAAAATTTTCTGGCAGAGCACGGTGGCTTATGCCTATAATCCGAGCATTT